ATTTTTAAATTACAACAAAATAACTAAAATTGTTATTTTTCATTCAAATATATCAAATTTCGTTCAAATATGAACTTGAAATATTTCTCAAAATAAAAACTGGGTTCGTGTATTTTTTGGTTACACCATGGAAAACCTCGTTTTTCAAATTGAACATTTCTTACATTTTAAACCACAAAATGATTTGCAAATTTTCGTGATTTTCATGAATATTATCAACATTTTAGTTTTAAATGCTTAAAAAAATATATCCTTGTAATGTAAAATCTTTAATATTTTTGAACTTTTATAAGATATAACAATTCATAGAGAACTTTACATTAAATCTTTAAGTTTTTTTACATCAACAGCAGTTTAACAATACATAATATAGGTAATAGTTTAAAAAGAGTTTAAATTGTATGATGCATGTAATGATAACATTTTATGAAAATCCAATGAATCTAAAATTATTTATTTTTGATTTATAACAAAAATACATCAACTTTGTCATATTCAAACTAATTTTTTTTTTTTGTTAGTTAAAAAAATAAAAACTACCGAAAATTTTCTGTTTTTACCTGTTTCCAGTCCCAATTAGATCTAATTTTCTAGTAGAAACCACTATTTAAATTGTAAATCAAATCATTATTTGATTACCCGATAAAATATTAACTTTTAAAGTTTTAACTAACAATTAACTAATCATACAAAATAAAGTATACCTACCTACATTTATACCTAGCTTATTGTAAGTAGGTAGGTACTTTTTTATGATATAAATTACACTAAAATTATTTAAAAAAAAATTATGATGGGTTCCATGAATAATCACTTAACATATTTTAATAATTCAGTTATAATATAGTGTGCTTAAGAATATTTTTCAAAATATTCTCTTTTTCGCTTAGTATATACTATATATAATCATTAATTGTTTTATTTGAAAACAAATTTAAATATTTTGAATAGAACAAAATTCAGTTATATTGGTAGATAAAAATGGTTTATTACTGAATAAGCACTTCTCATCATACCAAAGAATCTCTAAAAACACAAAATAAATTGTACAGTAGACAGCATTTAAACTTATAAGAATAATAGAATTGGGTATTTGTATTAATAATGAAATTACTTGCCTTTGATGCTTCAAATATACTTTTATTTCGAATGCCATTTAACAAATTATATTTTTTTTCTTTAGAATTGCCAGTTGAACACCCAGGGGCATAACAATTTCGAATCATTTTTAATTATTTTTATGTGAAATGTAATTTAATATAATTTCAAAAAATGAAGAAAAGAGCATGTCAAAATATTGAAAACTTTAAGTTCAATTTTTTTATCAAAATATCCTCAATTTGGTGTACCTAATCAATAGATATAGTAAATATGAATCTACCACTAGAAATTAACCAGTATAATACATTTCTTGTCCTTATAAATAATTTAAGTATTTAATTTAAAAATAAAATTTACAACGTTAATATTGAACACTAATACTATTTTAGTAATTTATTCTTAAAGATATAATTTAAATACCATTTTTAGTTTTTTAATTATAATTTTTTATTGGTAATAAAGTAGAGTATGTCCCTATCTAATGCGGGTTAATTATACTCCGATCCAGCCTCGGATTTGACCGCCACGCAGTCTGATGGAGAAATTAGTGTGCTATGCATGAAGACTAGAGAATTAGTAGAGATATCTCTAGTCTTCATGTCTCTAGCCTTCATGATGGTATCAATTAATTTCTTATCACTGGTATCACACTATCACCACACCGGAGCTATCTTCATTAGATTTATACTTTATACTCTATCATTTAACCACGATTTAAGATAGTATGGTTGCCCAACGAATCATGATAAAGTGTTTACTGAAATCACTATTAAAAACAGCTGGAAAATTAACCACTAGCGCTTGAATGTAACAGCGGCTATAGTTTATAAGCTCAAATACCGTGCAGAGTGGCGACTGGCGAGTGGCGCACTGGCGCGCTGTTTGCCTGTTTAGTATTTCAAATTTTCTTCGTGATTTACGATTAAAATTATAACGAATGACTTAGAACTTAGAAGTATGTAAGTAATTAATAACAATTTTGATAAATATAAATTAAAATACTTTAATCTCTTTCTATGCTTTAGTATTTTGTAAATAATAAATCAAATAACTATTTAAAATTTATTCAGCAAAAAAAATTGTATACAAAATACAAATGTTATACCATTACATTATATGAAACACAAAAAAAAAAAAAATTAATAATACCATCCATCACGTACTAACCAACTTTGAAAGTTTTTTTTTAACTTTATTTTGTTTTTTATTGTTTTGGTTTAGTTGATAGCTGTATTGCCTCATTCTCATAATCAGATTGTATGTGCAGATATCTGTTATAATATCTGTTTGATGTTCAATGCATGGAAAATTAATATTGACATTTTTGCTAAAGAAATCTTCATATGTATCTTCAAAAACTGTAGGTGAGTCAGCAAATTTTTCAAAAGATATCTCCAATGACTTTAATAATTTAAATAAATTAGTGTTTGGATGTGTAAGGTAACCTCTACTTTTTACATTCACTAATTCTGCTGCTGGTACAGTTGAAGATGTATTCATATTCTTTAAATATATTTTACACGATTCACATTTAGTCCGTGCCACTAACTGTTTTGCTATATATCTATAAATGATTCAATTTATACATTAATATCTATTTTTATTATTTCAGAGAATACTTACCTAACTAATAACTAGGTACTTATATTAAAATGTCTTACCCGGCTAAATAATACACAATACAATCAAAAACAGTAGAATTTGAATAATTATGCTCAGTAAAAACATCATCAGCATCCCAGCATCCCTTGTCTACAATATAATTAATTTTTTCTTTTAGTTTTTCAATCTTATTAATTCTATCTGAAGAATTAGTTGGGTCATTAATGACATCTTTTAAATCTGTGATTGTAATGATTGGAATATTGTCTAAAAAAGATATTTAATATTACTTTAAGTAGGTACATCTTATTCAAAATAATGTTAGAATATACAAACATATTGGTACCTACCTTCAAAAATTGTACAGTTACCAGTTTTAGGTTGTTTAATAAGTGAATATACAGACAGCATCCTATAAAGCTGGAGAAATGTAGGAGTGGATGGATGGTCATTTGGTCCAGCTACCTGACGGATAATACCAAAAAACTCCTATCAAAATAAAGTCAATAACTATTAGAATGCTCTTTCTTAAAATGTTAGTAAGTATAGTTATTTGTAAGTTTACTTCCAGGCGATCTTGGTTTAATTTTGCCGTCAAAACATACATAAAATTACAAGTATTTAATAAATAATCCACAATATCTATGGTTGACTTAATAGTTATTTTGAGACCATCAGCTGTGGCTTGTGTCAATAAATCATCCTTTTTTATAAAATTATTATTTAAATTTGATTCCCAAGTATTGATCCATGCCAAAGCTTCTTTTAACACCTATTTGACATATAAATAATATAAGTACACATGCCTAGGTTAATTCATAAAATATTTAAAACATATAATCTAAAATCTAACATGGTGTAGGATTTTTAACCATATTATGATGAAACCCTTAATTACACCTATTCACATACAATAAATATTAAACACATATATCACAAACACATAACACAAACACATGAGTACATAACTCAAAAAACCTCTATGTCGTGGGAGTTTTTTTTTATTCCTTCTGCACTAAATTTCCTGTTTAATGCATCAAACAGATTATTCATAAAAATTGTAAACTTGACAGTTTCATCAGAATCACTAAACCCATTAAAATTTTTTTTTTTATAAAATTCTATGCCTGTGGCCATTGACATGCTAAACAGCTAAATATTTTATGGAATAATTAGAAAATAATAATTAATATTATCTTTCACATGTTTTACAAATTTATAAATTGGTTATTTTACCTGTGCTGCATATTTAACCTTCATTTTAGAAAGATTATTAAGTTCAAAATGATTTTTGGTAATTTTTGGACACACTTTGGTAAATGAACTGGCTTCTATTTTAAAAACATTATAGTAATGTTCCCATTTTATGGGAGATTTCAAAGGATGTATCTAGAGTGTATGAAAAAGAGACATGTTATGTAGCTATATTTGTATAAAGTTAATGTATAATTAATAATTATATAGCCATATAGGTTACTTACAAGTAATTGTTTCTTTTCATATAAGCGGTTTCTTACAGTCTTTAAAAGATGGGGTGCATCGGAGAATACAAATACCTTTCTGCTACTATCAAATGGATTTTCAAAATAGTTTTTAAAACTATCCAACTTTGCATTTACCTATATTAATTAATCAAAAAAATACATAAATTACTAATAATTTTTGATACTTATTATTAATTATTATGTTTATATATACCCCTAAATAATTCCACATAGTACGATTAGTAGATGCACCATCCGATGTAAGACCAATAACTTTCCCACCAGAACTTTCCATCAATAAAATAGCTTTTATAACTAATTTTGCTAAATCTACTCCTATTAAACATAATACATATTTATTAAAAATAATTTATAAATTGGATAAAAATAACTCTTATTTTTACAGTGAATATAAAAGAACCTTTAACAGTTCCATGTGAAGCAAATACGGCAATCGGTTGGACAAATTTTTCTGCCAAACTTTGCCACATAAAAACCAAAGCGTGGTTGGNACGATAAATCTATTTACTAAGATAATAGATAGTTATTATAATTGTATAGTGGAATATTTATCATTATTTAAATCGTGGTTTTTATAGGGATCTATGAGAATTGAGAATAATATCACATAATAGATTTATTCTGTATTACTGTGGTAATAGGTACATATTTGATATTAGTAAAGCGCGGGAAAAAATAATAAGCTCGTAAATTCTGCTTCTATATTGGCACACATCATGTCGCAAGCGCTAGTGGTCAATTTTCCAGCTGTTCTGGTTATTTAATTTGGTTTCCAGTTTAAAACGATCTTATCATAGGTCGTCGGGCAACCATACTATCTTAAATCGTGCATTTAACTAAACTTATAGGACAATATTGAGTTAAGTATTCAAATTTTTAAACATGTGACCTGAGTGATGTTGCTGATTAGATAGTCTGTTCACGGTTGTAATTATTGTATACTAAATTGTTACTTATTCAATTTCACAATGAAATGGATCAAATTTTATTCAATACTTAATTTAACATAAAAAATAATTTCTTACAGTTCCAAATCAAATGTGAGTTAAAAATTCCATTAACAAAAAAATTACAATGTATTTATAAACATAATACTTAAGTATAAAATTTTCCAATACTGTCTACTATAGTTTCTAATTATTAATTTCAGATGATTATGTTCAACCGTTTTTTACGACAGTTAATTAATATTAGGCCTTTAATATCAAATTACAATGAGCAATGTTGTAGAAATTTAAGATATGTTTCTACAATCAAAGATTTTCGAAAAAGAACAGAGACATTTTCCGTCAATTCTGAGCAGAATATTGATGCTGATGTTTTTGGAACATTATCTGACAATACCGAAATTAATGATAAATTGGATCTTTTACCTCCGGAAGATGATGATAAAATAGAATACGATAAAGATGAACAACACAAAAGATTACACATTACTGAGTACCACAAAATTATCCAAGAACTCATTAAACAGCATAAAGTATAAAACTAAAAATTCAATGTTTATTTTCTTAATCTTCAGTGCTACCCAAGTTTCTTTTTTAGATTGCAGATGCGATAGATGTACTTGAAACAAGGATGTTAAAAGATGAAAAAGCAAAACCAGATTATTATGTTTATAACCTGTTAATCGGTACTTGTGGTAAAGTCGGTTATGTTCAAAAAGCATTTCATTTATTTAACCAGGTTTGTTTTATTTATAATATGGTATCCATCTATTATTTAATAAATACTATATTTAATTTTTTTTTAATGATTAGATGAAAAAAAGTGGCATTAAAACTACACCGGCTACATATACTTGTTTATTTAATGCATGTGCAAATTCACCATATAAGGATGATGCATTAAAGAGAGCTAAAAAATTACACAATTTGATGAGTTTAAAATCAATTGAACCTAACATTTTTAACTACCATGCAATGATTAAAGGTATTTAAAACTATAAAATCAATAAGAAACAAAAATTAATTTAAGATTTTTATTTTCATTTTTATTGAAATTCATTGAAACTGAAATTTCAAGAAGTAAATTTGCTTAACTGTACTAAAAGTGTTACATTTTTATTTTTAGCTTTTGGGAGAACAGGAGATTTATTGACTGCATTTTCTTTGGTTGATGAAATGTTGACGAAAAAATATAAATTAAAAGATGAAACATTTAATTTTCTCTTACAAGCTTGCATATCAGATAAGGAAGCTGGTTTTCGTCATGCCTTACTTGTAAGTTTGAATTAGTATATGCCTATCTACAATATTTTCTGTAGTGAAATGTCAAGTTGACATAAGTTTATAACAATGCACATTTTAATTAAATCATGATAAATTAAAATTCATTAACTTTAGTTCCTATATAATATTTGCTCAGTCGTTTTAAGTCTGATGATCCTTCAAAAATTTACTTAGTGTTATTCACACTTGACGTCTTCAAATCCTAGTCCACTCTACATAGATGGAGTAAGTATTAGTTTGTCACCAAAAATTAAATATCTAGGTGTTCTTTAATTCAAAAACTTACTTGACTTCAACAAATTTACTAAAGACAGATGTTTCATCCTATTAGTATGGTTTAAGTACTAAATTAAGTCAGAAATATATTATAACCAGCTTCTATGTTCTCTCACACTTATTTTGTCACCACTATAATCTTTTATTAACATTTCATTTTAAAATCCTAAGTATTATATGTATCATTTAACATGATTAATCAGAAATACAGAACCTTTTTATTTTATTATTATTATAAATAATAACTTATAATTTTTTTTTTTTTTATTAACTTTAAAATCTACTTATAACATTCATTAAAACAAATTGTATCATATATTTTGGTAATTTTCAGGTTTGGAGAAAAATGATATTAAAACGTGTACGTCCTTCACTTTATACTTACAATCTTTTATTAAAATGCACCAGAGAATGTAGTCTTGGTGATGAATTTGAAACACGGAAAATTATTGGTCAAATAATTAATGATCCTCATTTGCTAACAACTGAATCTAAACTTGAAGAATTGAATACTTCAGAAAAGAATATACCTAATACATTATTATGTAGTGATAATGAAAATAAACTATCTCTTATTGAAGAGAATAGACCAAATTTATTGGATGTTAAACCTAATTTTGGTAACATTGTTAGTATATCCGAAATTAAATCCGCTGAAGACAGGTAAAACATACACTCATAATTTTTTTCTGCATCAATTTATGTTCGATTTTATTTTTGCTTTTAGATTAATATTATTAGGTGGTTGTTCAGGATTTTTACAAAATATGAAAATCAATAGAGTAAAGCCAGAAATTAAAATATTTACTCAACTTTTAGAAGTTATACCACCAACATTGTCAGCTGAAAAAGTGAGTTACTTACTTATGTTCTTATGTATTAATATCCTAATCAGAAATATATTTAAATTGAGTTATTTTTATTTTATCAGATGTGTTTATAATTGATTCAAATCTTACAAAAAATAAAACAAAGTTATAACTACATTTCATATATTATGTTTATTTTCTAATTATTAATTTATAAATATTTGTTTAGCTCTTGTTAAAAGAAATTAAAAAAAACAAAGTTGAAATTGACATCGATTTTTGCAATATTCTCATTAAAAAACGGAGTCTTAGATTTGATTATGAAGAAGCAAAGGTTATATAAAATCATTCATATAATATACATTTTATGTAAATTACCTTAAATTTACTTTTAATTTATAGAATGTATTAATCTTAATTAATTCAGAAAACTTGGGTGTGGATGTTGTAACCTTTGGTGTTCTGGCATTGGGATGTAAAAATAAGAATGAAGCTAAAGACCTCATAAAAATGATAGCTGACCATGGATTTCGGTATGTTTGTAAAATATTTATGATATTTTTATTCTTATTTGTTTTTTCATCTAATTTAAGGGTGAATGCAGAAATGTTGGGCACAATGTTAGCACAAGCATGTTACCATTTCAATTTTGGCTATGTAATTTATGTCATGAACATGGTCAAACACGAAGAAATTAAACCCAATAAAATATTTATGGATCGTTTAAATCGTTTTGATAACACAATTAAAGATTTAATGAAAAAAAGGGTAAGTGTAAGCAGTTATTCAAGATTGAAGTATGAATGTTTTGTTTTATAGTAAAATACATACATTTTTTAACCAACTGCAAATGATTTAACAGCATAACTTCTTTTTAAAATAATAGAAATAAAGAATAACTTCAAAATTAACCACAAATATTTTGAAGAAATCATACATTAAATCTGTAAAATATTATATGTTTCTTTTAATGCCTTGATAGTCCCTAAAAAATATGAATTCAATTTATACTATCCTAATTACTAACTAACACAATTTAAGGAATTTAAATTGTGTTTTTTTTTTTACTTAATGACATCATAAATAGATTTTAAGTTTAAATAACAATTATAAATTTCAACTTTTATATTTTATTCACTTTATCAAAAATATTAGGATTTCTGATCACATGATAAGGTTAATGAAAACATGAAATATATTAACTATAACTATTGTTTTCAGCAAAATAAAGAAAAAGAGACTCCGGATTTTATTCAAGGTTATTATTTCAAAGAAGGATACAGAAAGTTTCAAAATTTTTATAAAAAATGGTTACTTGAGATAACTGTTGATGAAGAACTACATCCTTGGGATCAATTTAAAAACCACAGAAAATGAAATATTATTTGATTTTGTATTTAACAATAATTTAATATTATTTTATTATATTTTTTGGGTATTTAATTGACATGCATTATTATTATCATCATTGATCACTAATATAAAGTATTATAATTAATATAGACCTCTTTATTAAAATCTATATTGATTTAAATGTTACAACATTTCAAATAATACTAAATATTTTAATTTTGAATAGAGCTTGGCATTTGTTCTAGAGGATAATATGTATGTATAACATTGTTTTCATACATTTTGACCACTCTTAGTCCGGAAGGATCTTCTCCCATTGGAGCTCCAAGTGCACAAGTAGTGACCATTTCAAGGTTTTCATAGAATCCAGTTGAGTTTTTGTGATAATGACCAGAAAAAACATGAGACACGCCTAAAAACAATACATACATCAACATTTGATTTGAAAATTAATTTGCAAATAATTAAAATGGTTTTTCTCAACATTTAATAAACTGGTTGAAATAAAATATTTAAGTATGATAATTAATCTTTACCAGCTGCGCACAGTTTTTCAAGCATTTCATGTCTGAAGTTTTTTTCAATATTAAAAAATGAATTTTCTTCATCCGGTTTACTTAAAAACCATGGTATATGTTGAAATACAATTATTCTTTGACCCTCGTATTTACTCAATATTTCAGTTAACCATTTATCTTGTTGTGCTGCAAATTGATCGACATTACTACTGTTTCTATAATATTGAGAGTTTAACACTAAAAACAGTACTCCACCGCACCAAAATGAAAAATAATCTTGCCCAAAATTATCACGATATCTAAAATTTTAATTATTTATCTACAAATATTAAACAACTAATTTTATCTGTAAAATTGTGCTATATTACTTGTTGATTGAATTCTCATCTGGAATATCACCAACATCATGATTTCCACACACACAAACCAGAGATATCGAGGGGTGTAAGTTTGAGAAAATGTTCTTAAAATCATTTATTTGTAATTCATTTAGCACAGTTTCGTCTGAAATATGGATACATTGCTATACAAAAAATGTATATGAACCATTAATTAAACTATGATATAATCATTAAACTAAACAAGTTCAACTAACTACAAGGCATTTCATTTACTAAGTCTCCACACACAACTAAAAATTGAGGTCTTGGAGACAAGTTATTAATTTTATCTATTGCAAAAATAGCCTTATCCATTTCTATTTTCCAGTCTGTAGAATCTCGTTCAACGGGTGGAAAAGTGTAACCAAATTGAGAGTCAGCCGCAATCACAAAGTAAAAATTTTCAGTCCATAATTGATTGTTTTTAACTAAAATTAGAAACAAATATAAAATTATACAATAGGTAATAATAAATAATGTATTGCGTGGGCAACCATTAACCATAGGTCCATATATAACCACAGAAATGTAACATGTTTGGGTACCTACATAACAATATTTTTTACCTGGTGATTGGAAAATGATTGGATTCACACATTTAAGTATTGTATCCCAAAAACGTTTTGTAACTTTAATTTAACAGTATGCTGATCAATGATCATTATGTTCTATATAATAGCATAAATCTATAAAAATATTTTGATCATTGCCTACCTATTTATTATATTATTATATTTAGCTTTTTTTGGAACTTAGTTAAAAACAACACGTGTAGTACACACTACACAGGCGTGGTACGTATTAATGTTTAAAATCGTTAATTTTATTATGCCCAAAAGTATTGGGTTTTGAGTCAAAGTGTTCAAATGTTCACCACCCAAGATTCCCAACCGGCAATCATCACCGCCACTTATCGACCAATAAAACATTGCTTTAATAGTTTATACTAAAAAACTCTAATAAAAAAAATTGCTTAGACATCAGCGATACTAGCTGGTGTTCCTCAAGGTGCTGTCTCATCTCCCTTCCTATATAACTTATTCACAGCTGACCAACCAACTTCCCCGTATACTTCAGTAGCCGAATTCGCGGATGACAAAATTATATACACTTCTCAAAATGATCGAGACACTGCCAACCTGCAATTACAAAACCACCTAAATAGCCTATCTTCCTGGTATACTAAATGGAAAGTTAAAATTAACAAAGATAAGTCATCACATATTACTTTTTCCTTAAGACCGGGTGAAATACCTTCTGTTAATCTAAACAATCAAACAATACCAACAGTCTCCAACATCCGTTACCTAGGTCTAACCCTAGACAAGCGACTCACCTGGACAGAACATATTAAAATCAAACGTAATACTCTTAAACTCAGAAGGAAATCACTACACTATTTGATAGGTAATCACTCCAAACTCAGACTCAATTCCAAACTGCTTATTTATAAACAACTTCTCATGCCGATATGGACTTATGGCGTACAGCTGTGGGGTGCGGCTAAATTATCAAATTTAAACATGATACAAAGATTTCAATCGATCACCTTACGCATGATAACTAGGGCCCCCTTTTACGTATCCAACCACACACTCCACACAGACCTAAACATTAAAACTGTCTCAGAAATGGCATCAACTATACACAAACGTTATAGGTTACGACTAGAAAACCACCCCAACCCGCTAATCTCAGCACTAAACTCACAAACAATACCCGGGAATCCCCAAAGAAGGCTTAAGAGAAGATGGTGCCGTGACCTAAACTTTTAATCTCAAAACTTAAAAAATACATACATATGTATATATATAATATACATATATATCTAACATAAATAAATCAATGAAAAGTGTAGCCGCTGGGTTACTTCTTTTATCAAGCAAATCATGTCTTCTTACTTATTTTAGCTCATATTCTTATTGTAAAACTAATTTACAGATTGTATATATTCAATAAAAAAAAAAAAAAAAAAAAAAAAGACATCAGCGCGATTTAAAATCACAAGAGCAGGATGTATTGATTCACCTTTTGCATCAATAGTTATCTACACCTCGCCTAAAACAGATTCTCACAACTAATCCGGACTGGAAGATGTGGATCGGACAAAATATGTCCCAACTCCCGGTTACTGTAATAAGATGCTTTCAGGTTTCCTCAAAGAGCTTGGCACATAAGACTATTAGAGTACTGTTTGGTAAGACCAATATATACATCTCTCAGCGGTTAGCCGTGGTTTTGTAACCGCAGATGGCAGATCCATAGCTAATTGTTGGACACGATAAACAAATAACTACGACGTTCATATTCCATCGTTGCTACTAACCTATACTTGATTCATACAATTTATGTGGTGCCTCTTCAATTTATTTGTAAAGTCCACTGGTGATCTCGCGATTTAATAAAAAAAATGGACAAATTGAAAAAAATAATGTTTATGTCATAGACTTTGTCACTATTAAAGTATTTTTAAGTCCCAATCTACATAGGCAGAGGTAGAGGACAGAGATATACGGTAGGTTCCTACCAAACCTATCAACGGGCGCATGTAAATTCCGCCCAAAATGAACTACAGGTAAAATATAAGGTACATGTAAATTCGGGCATCGCCCGTTTCCGCCAAAAAACCGGTTCCCTGATTTAGGTATAGCCCTTTTCCGCCAAATCTAAAAAGGTACGATTCCCTTTTCCGCCAAAAGACATTTCCGCAAAAGAGAGTTTGGAAACCAATAGTATAAATTTTTAAGCAATATATATGTTGTGTATATATAAAATAAAATAGTAATGTAAAATAAAAATATTAAACCGTTTAAAAACTACTGAAGAAGCAATTACAAAAAAAAGTTCCAATGAAATTAGTAGGTACATGTTTGTCAAAACTGTTTCTTATAATTATATGATTGTTGTACCTATTCGCAATTTCGCAATTATTTACAAATGTCATTGCTATTACCTACATTTTGCATTACTATTTTATTTTATACATACCAAAACATAAATATTGCTTAAAAATTAAGACCATTGGTTCCCAAACTTTTTTTGCGGAAATGTCTTTTGGCGAAAACGGGAATCGAACCTTTTTCGTTTTTGGCGGAAAAGGGCTATGGCGGAAACGGCCAATATTATTTTGGCGGAAGCGGGTAACTCCCGTAAATTCCACCCGAAAAAAATACAGATAATGAAACATACGTGTAAGTTCCGCCCGAAAAATGTATGACTGTTAATAAACAAATTTCTGAATGTGTCTTATTAATCATATTATTACTGACATAACATAGATTAAACATTATAATTTAGAAGTGGGTATTTAAATAAATATATATTTCACATATTAAGTCAATAATTACAACATAAATCATGTATAATCGTAAAAATAGTAATAATTATAAAAGTAAATAGGTATAACAATCATAATATTATAGTAAAATTAAAACATAATCAATAATTAGCACAATATAAATAAAAGTATTAAAAATCGTAAAATAGTAAAAATTATAATAATAAATACGAGTCAAAATATCACTTCCATACTATTTATTTTTTGTTAATGTTCGAACATTTTGTGACTTCCCAATACTATAAGTTATAGCACGCGCAGCGTCGCGAAAAGTACGGTCGCGTCGTACAGTCACGGAACACTTAGTTTAAAAATATTTATTTTTCCGAGCGGAACTATTTTTGTACCTGCATATTTTTTTCGGACGGGATTTACATGTGCCTTTTATACTTGGATATTTTTTCGGGCGGAATTTACCATAGACCTTGTTTTTACCTGTTCATTTCGGGCGGAATTTACAATCTCCCCTATCAACATCTAGTGAGTGAACACTAACTCAAACAGTCAAACTGTTCATGCCAGAATACTCATAATTCATATTATGCTTTATTGCGTTATATTGTATCGATAGGAACGTGTACCTATATAATCTAGAACATTTGTTTGTTTAATAAGGTGTAATTTGAAAATTATGAAACGGGAGTGAGAATAAGATTTATGGTTGCTAAAAGTGAAAACGACCAATTACCAATTCAGAGTTCATAAAAAATTGATGATATATCTATCATCACTTATTAGTTATTAGGTATGTATAAATAATAAAGCTTTGCTATTTTATGCCTTGTAAATTGTATCATATTTATCGCATTTTCCCAAAAATATAACGCTTTATTATTTGCCTATATATACATATTACAATACCTATTAGCTATTACATTGACATAAAAATATATTTAACCTTACACTGTCTTCGCATTTTAAAATAATGGTAAAACGGTTCTGAGAAAGGCTTGTTTACCCCCAAATGGCCATGTTTTAATTCATCAAACAAATGAGTGTTAGAAACTTCAATACCTACTTCGGTCTAGAAATATAATTGAACAAAGTTCAACAAACAATAATTTGAAACTTTCGAAGAAGTTAAATATTCTTTTTTTGTTCGTTTCGATGTTCAATAAAAAATCCAAGATTGAGATTTGCCTTAACCGATTGGCAATTTTATTAATAATTAAAATTTGAAAATGTCGAGGAAATTAATTGATTATTAAGTAATGAGTAGGTAGTGAAAAACTGGAAACAGGGCCGTCCTTTAGAGTTTACAAGACCCAGTATAAATATAATTATAAGCCTATAATGATTTCCCATTCATAAGTGTATTAAAATACAAGCAACATATTTTTACTATTCATATTTATTGATTCAAAATTAACGGACTTCAGAAGAATTTTTTATCTGTCGGTGAAAGCAGAAAAATCCTGGAATCTTTGAACTGGGAACTTACAAAAAAAAAGTTATAGAAGCTTGCATGGACGAAACCATAGGTATCTCCAATAAAAGAAGCAAATTATGACTTGTGCAGTCGAATAGTCTATGGAACAAACAACAAAAGAATCTCAAAGGTTTTCAGAAGGTATTACTATACCTCTTTGTTTTATCTTATCACATTGGTCCCATTATCATATAAGTTATAACGGCATTATACTTGACTGCAACAGTTGTTTACTTATTAGTTATTAGTTAATAGTTATTACCATAGATATATATCTTTACTTTATTTCTCTATGAAACACATAATTTTAAGTTATTATGGTACACGGAATAACATAATTTTTTAAGCCAATTTTCCTGCTTCATTTTTTCGTACACAAATCCCCAAATCTTAGTTAAAGGTGTGAAGCTTACGCCCTCCCCTCTCCCTAAGAACGGCCCAGAGAGAAGCTTTATACAGCCGTATTTTCCTAATTACCTACCTAAAACACCCCAGTAAATTCACAAAAAATTAATAATGATTTCAACCAAGTTGGTTAAACCGTTAGTGTTTAGGAGTAAAGGACAAAAATAATTAACGCCATAACGTTGGGTAATTACCCCTTATTATAATTTAACATGTACATGAATAATTATACTTAAATAGTTAAATCTATATAAAATTAATTTTAACTTACACTGATCGGATCCAATTTTTTCTTCAATCTCGTGCTTACTCCATTTTACAGTTTGTTTAATATTTTCGGTCATTTTTGCTGTAAAAACAGGTATAATAATTATTTATTCTATCTGTTTCTAAAATAATTTCTTAATTCAATGATAAATAATCCTGAATCATATATTTTTTTATAATTTATAACTCAGTATCTATAACAGTATAACGCATAGCATAGTGACAGTAGTGTAAATATACAATATTCTCAAAAATTTCTCTACGGGCTAGTCCCGATTTTCTTTTTAATTTAGTAGGTATAAATAATAGTTTATACACTTTAACGTCTTTAACAATGTTTGATGTTTATGTACAGTCATCGATTTTATAGTTACTGTGTTTATAAATATAGATTGATACATTTTCTGAATAAAAAAAAATGTTTACAGTATAATAGCCAGTTGGTGGGTATAAACCTGTAGGAGAAAAAAATGTATTAAGTATGTTTAAAATTTAAATATACAATTTATAATTTGCGAATTATTTGAGGGAGACCGAACTCAACCAACCCCCCCTCCCCCTTTGATTGCGCCATTGCCATTAATAGATAGGGGTGGTGGTAAACCCTCCCGATCGTATGGTGAACTCTCCCGATTTTTAAGAATATTAAACCCTCCCGATGGTAAACTCTCCCGGGTCAATATTATATTTACTAGGAGGAAAAGTGTAAGCTCTCCCGGGTCAGCTTTATGTTTACCTGAAGTAAATGTGTAAGCTCTCCTGAGTTGTTTTAAATGTTATTGCTACTCTATGAATTGGCTTCACTGCAAAGATTGTGATTATCATTTTAAATATTTATTATCAATTGTATTACCGTTAACCTGTATTTTTAATTTAAATATTTTAAACGATATTGACTATAATGGCTCAACCAAGCTTTTCAACCTGACCAACCGAGTAATACTTATTTTTCAAACGCCTTTATATAATGCAATTATCAGTAAAAAAGAGTTTAAAGCCATAATAAAGATTACAAGATAGGTATTCATAATTTTGATCATTTAATTTTCATATCTTATTGTATCAACAGTATATGCTGTTTATCCGTTGTTTTATGGTTATTTTTAAATCATTCTCCTATCTAATTGATGTGCTATATATATATTCTAATTGTACTAATTTGTAATTGTTGAACTATGATAGTTTATACTGACAGTTGTAATTAAAAAAAAGGTATTCATAATTCAATAATACTTTCAAGTTGTTTGATTAATGATGAACTTATATATTGATACAAATTAAGCAGGCATATCAATGATACCTATTTTTAATAAATAAATCTATTATGAACTTATACTGTTAGGTACTTTAGGTACTTACCTAGTTACCTAATGCTTTTAAGATTAACATAATTGTATTATAATATTTATTATATGTATGGGCTAAAAATAATATAAATAAATGAGTCAGTAGAATATTTATATACCTATACATGAAATATGATGTGTACCGTATAGCATACTTATGAGGCTAAAAAGTTAAACTGGAAGTTAGAGTTAATTTTGTTTAGCTTAATTAATTAACTGCTTCAACATTCGAAATGTTTTTACAAAGTTAGATGAAAACTTAAAGTAAGGCACTTTGCTATTCAACTGACGAAATAAAGAAAACACGAACAATTTAACTGACAATGTTCATTGTACATACTAAGAACTGGAAAATCAGTATAACTTCGTCCCTTCCGTTTAAAATTTAAAAAAAACAAACGAATAGGTACCACGAGCCCGAGTTACTATGTATAGTATATATAACTATATGTACTAATCGTTTTAATAATAGATAAAAGTAATTTTTAAAATACATATTATACAAATACAAATACTTAACAGTTAGAGGGACCTCTGTAACTCGATCGTCTATAAGTCAAATTTTCGATAGTTCGAAGGAATATCTTAGATCTTGCATCCTAATATTTAGGTACCTATACCTATAGATTTTACTATAACTCGAATATTTTTACAGTCCCCGACCGATTTGAGTTATCGAGGTTTTACTGTACTTATGAACGTGCAGCACATTATTGCGTATATACTAATACACTTTCAAAACATTTACTATTTACTATTTATTTTGTGATAAATATTTGGACGGTTATTAATATTCACGGCTCAGAAAATAAATAAGTACCTATTAAGTTTTATACTATTATAAATTTATAATCAGTGTGCTAGAATAAAAGTGTAGGACATAAGTAATAAAATACGTAACCACTAACCATATAATAACCTACCCATAAAGTACTCTTAAGTCTTAGTGCTAGGACAATACAATAGCATATTAGTATAATACTAATTATTTGTTTGGATTTTACTTATTCTTGAAAACAACACTTTTTGAAGCAATAAGCAGTGTTACAAAAATCGAAAGTGTCATCTTTGCTCATAAATAGATAATTAAAAATTAAAAATTGAATAGGTATTACATTAGGTGGCTATATTTCTGAAAGACTATTTAGACCGGATTCAAGTTGTTTTATTTTTTTTTAAATTCAGATATACCTAATAAAGTAATAACCATCTAGTTATTATGTTTATTTGAACAATGATTTTATTTGAACAGGCATTTTCTTTGTTTTAACTGTGCAAATAAAATAAAGTTAAACCTCGAAGACGTACCTAATGTAACTATATGTAAGACGTTTAATTAGGTACTTACCTACCTATTGATGTGCATTGTGGTCTGTGAATATCTTTAATAGTTAAATTTTGTACAATCGTAACAGATAAGATAACGATTTATTACACCAATTAGTAAATTTGAATTGATTGTAACATCAGGTAATAGGAATAAGCATTAAAATAACTGCAAAATGCAAATACATAATATCATTTAAAACAAGTCATTGGATAAATGTTTAGGTATTCAATAAATATTTAAGAAATCGTTTTACAAATATGAAATAAGAAATTAATAAAAAAATATCATTATTATAGGTTAGTACCTACCTATATGTTTTTATCTTGTACATTTAAATTTTGAGTTTGGGGGCCCCAAGACACGAGGCATTGAGCCACGGCTACCTAGGCAGCTAGGCCATCCTGTCTTCATACCACTGATCCTTGTATTGTTATGAATTAAAATCATGAAAAATACTGTTTAGTGAAAAAATATTCAGCTTGTTGTAGATAGGTACACTTATTAAAACCTACATGATGAAACAAACATAATATCTTCCTTGCGTAATAGCTGTATAGTACATAAATGATTAATTCCAATAATTATAAATAGTATTTAATATTTATAAATTATATGATCAATGATAATACCCATATCTACTGACTACTGCAATTGTATTGTAATATGTAAATAACATTATGACAAACGTATATATTGTACCATTTGTACATTTTGCCATCTATATACGATCTATCTACGGATACATGTATTCTAACATATAGAACTACATTACTACACTAGTACATATTATATACATAAATAAATTGTGCCTCTACAATTGTTTATTATTACAGAACACTGATACAATTATAAGCATTTGACATTTATTATTTCTGTGTGTCAACAATTATTTGAATGTTTGAGAAATACGATTGTAGCGAAATGCCATGTACTTAATATCGTATGGATCAGCAGTTCCCAAACTTTTTTTTAATTCACGTTACCCTAAAAATTAAAAATTAAAATTAGCCTCCCATAAATAAATATTACAGAAATCCCCGAATAAAGTTTATTATTGTTTAACATGACTTAAAGTACCTAATACTGACATAGTGAAATATTTGTTTAGAATAGTTAAGATGTTTCAACAAAACTATTGTTGATTAAAACATATCAACATTTGCCACGCGGCTAGCGCCTCCCCTCCCAAAAGCTCGCAGTTTGGGGAACTGCTGATATAGATTATATATAGAGGTCTTTATTGCCTATACTATTAAATATAATTCCCGTCGTCGGTTGAACTAATGATATGCAAATCAATAATTATTTATTACCAATAATTGGCAATCCCTATCTGAGAACTCTGAAGTTATGGTTTTGAGGTCAGAGCGAACGTCCTCTCCCCTTGAGACTTAGTTAATCCCTTTTAATGTATAATAAATATAATAAAACAATAAACTATGGCAATAATTGACACTTAACAGTAATTACTATACGAATTTTAAAATAAGTACTATCCTACCTATAGCAATAAAAAAACGCAATTTTTTTTATTATTATGTTTAATAATATAAAATCATCTCTATTTAACGTTTTAATGAGTTTCTAGCCCAACTAAAATAATAAAGGAAGTTTTAGCTATACTGATATCACAAGTGAGTATTATAAATAACGTATATTTAAAATGTTACAAAATAAAACGGAATGTTACAGTATTGCAGAATTACACTCACCTGCTCAAGCTCAAGTATATAAGTTCGCTATATTATGCACCTCTATATATTATAGTATTTACATTATAAATTAATGATTATAATATATGAAAACAGTTACATCGTTACTTCTCATGTTTGTAAATAAATAAACATTTCTTAAAATTACGTGCATAAAATAAATATTTAAAAGTTATAAACTATAATATATTATACATTAATGGTACAAGCCACAAGGTGCGATATAATATGGCTATAAGTATAATGTATATTATAGTAATCTTGCCTCCCACGCCCCAACACGGACAAATATTTTGCTGAGTTCAGTCGTAACTCCCATTGCACCGAGACGAGTGTTGGTATACTAAGTCCACCCCCACCTTAATGTTTTACAAAGCCATCAATGTGTAACCAGAAGTTATTAGGGGGCTAAGCCCCTTCTCCTTGAGCCATGGCGTTTAAGTCAAATCCTTGAGAAAAAACGTTATCATATCATGCATTCAATACGTATACGTTTGTAATATAAATTAAAATAAGTAATAAGTAATAACTAATAATTTTATGGGTACGTTATTTTAATGTTTATTATCTCGTTTATTATTAATTATTATGTACAATGTACTTAATATAATATTATACATGTATCAATATTTTCAAATTAATAATATGGTTTTTAGTTATCCCAGTTTCCGCAAATACTATCTTAGCGACAGAAAAAAATTGTATTGTTTTTTTTTCTTGCATCAGAAAAATTAAAACGTTAGGCCATAACTCATTAAGTTATGATCGTAAGGTACATAAGGTCGATATGTCACAAAATACATTCATATTGATCTAGCTGTACTAGATTACTAAGTAGTAAAGTCTAAACCAAGATAACAGATAAATCAATGTATAATATCTACATAGTGAGTAATCGTGACTATAACTAAACATAAAAAATGATAAGGATGATGATATTTTAAAATGTGAATGAACAAGCTTCTATTTACGGGTAATGGGTATAGACATTTATAAAATTTACTAAAAATATGTTTAAAAGTATGCGTTTTGTAGAATGAAAATAATGTTAGTGCGTTATACTTAATATTTTATTGAATACATTTGATTTTTCAGAATTATTATTTTTAAATGACGAGAGGGTTCTTTTGACCTTATTGGGTTCTTTCAACGTTTATTTTACAGGATTGTTTGTGAGGAATTACGAAAAACCATTTGTGCAATTATTCATATAAATTATTTATATTTAATGCAATTGAACGAGCTCGTCTCACTATTTTTTTAATTAATATTTTTTATAGTGTGGATTTTTGTAACAGGAAACTACTAAAATCTAGTTAGGCTTAGGCCCATAAAGAAGGTGTGGGGGTAACATCCTATTGGCTATTTGCAACATTGACTTTCTAGGACTCAAATCCTTTTAAGCTGTACCTAATTTATTACTATATCCTAGTTACCTATGGTCAAAGACGTAAAGGTATTGTAAGTACGTACACGGTACGGTAATCGGAAAAAAAAGTCCCGGTAAAAAAAGTCCCAGAAAAAAAAGTCCCGGTAAAAAAGTCCCGGTAAAAAAAGTCCCACACTAGGAAAAAAAGTCCCGAAAAAAAAATATTATTCTTGTAGGTACTTGTACAGTTCTATAGTAAGTTGTGCTTTGTATTTTAGTGTGTAACTGTGTAAGTGTAATGAATAAAATGCTTGTACATATATTTGTCATCTACCATAATAAGTAATAAATAATAGAAAAAAAAGTTTACTGGAAAATACCAAAATACTTATTCTTATACTGCACTTGTACAGTTGTACTTTGTACTTATTTTAGTGTGTAATGTATTGGTAGGTATAAAATATATTTGTCCGCAGATGAAGCGAAATTAGCTTTAGATGCTGTAGGAGATTCGAAAACTGTTAAAAAACTAGGGCAAACTCGGACAGTAGAAAAACGGCTGCAAAATTTATGTATACAAATACAAGCGGGCAATATCGGTGTTTTAGATTTTTTAACAGCCGTAACTCGTAAGTCATAATATAAGAAAGAGGTGTACCTAATTATAATATTACATTTTTATAGCATTATTATTATAATTATATTGGTACTTTAATTGTATTATTATTATTTACTTTTATTTGACTTACTTATTATTGACTATTTATTATTGTAATAAATTGTAAGTAATTAACATCTTTTATGATATTATATGACTTTGTATGTATTTATATATTCATCGGGACTTTTTTTTCCTAGTGTGGGACTTTTTTTACCGGGACTTTTTTACCGGGACTTTTTTTCCGGGACTTTTTTTACCGGGACTTTTTTTTCCGCGATTCACACGGTACACCTATTAACTGTTATGATCGCTTGTAGACTTAGATATACCTACTTATCACTTATGTGATAGCATTGATTATAAATACTAGTATTAAGACACGATCGCATAATATGTTTTACTTGTGTGATTTTTATAATGTATACATATTATGACATTTTTTGTAAAATTGATTTAAAATAAATACCTAATAACGTCTGTAATATGTATATAAACTTAAGAATTTCGTATAAGGGCGGGTTTTCGCCCTGGGAAGTGTTACTAACTCTAACTGGCTAGAATAAATTTAATATTTTATACTTCACAATTTAACGTACATTTTTAAACACTGAAAGTAAATTATTTCTAAGTAAATTAAAAGTTTTGGCACGCATTTGGCAAATTTCCAACATCAAAATATTAAAGTAAAACACCCATCGAAACATTTATTACAATTTACAAATTTAATTCATAGTAGGTACCTACATGGCTACATATATAAAATCTTAAATCTGCACATTGTGCTAAAAATTGACATTTCATGCTAGTTGCTTTGATTAATCAATATATTTACATTTTTTAGTCTATGTAAATATATTATAAATTATAATCGTTAGTGCAATTGTGTCTTAATTAATAATGTCAACTTTCAATATTGTTCGGTGATATTTTCAATCACGAAGTCGCGGATTAGGCACGCAGTTCATAGCTGATATAGCCATATAGGTATCGTGTTTTTCCATACAAATTGTCAAATTTATTTGGTCTGTGGTTTACTGATAAATGATAATATTATTAACCCGCCAAGATAACGGATCACAGATAACACCAGCCAACAATCACTGAGTCACGTGACTCGTTGCCTACTCTGCTCTTGCAATTGTGCAATACTGCAAATTACAATTTGCAATAGTGTGTAGTGGTTTAATGGTTACTACCTACTTACTTACCGGTCAGTATTTAAATATATAATTATTCAACATAATATTTTGAAATTAAAAAAAAAATTGAAGCCGTCAAATTGTTGTATACGAATACCTACCGAATGGTTCGTTTCAATAATAAAAGTGTAAAATAATAATTAAGTTACTTACTGAAATGAACGATTCATGCACATTTACCTCGATGGATGCGACCAGTCTCGTGGAATTCGTTGGAAAAACTGTTGTTGTGCGTACTAAACAGCAACACACGTCCAAAGGAGTCGTTCACACTGTGGATCCGGTGACAAAAAGGTATGGTTGACTGTTGTAAACTTGTTCCGTGGGCGTGTACACATGACAATAATTATTATGATGTAGATAATTTTTTTTATTAATAGAATATTAACTGTTTCCTCTACCCCGCGGCCCGCAGGTCCTTCTGAAATATTTTTCTTGACCAAATTACTGCCTATGCAGGTTGGATTCTGAACTAAGTGGGAGGAATGTGTTTGGATTTGGTTGATGGTTTTACAATAATATAATTCAATAATACTGACTACTGTTATGTTGGCGAATATTATTTAATCAGTTATATCTAAATTATTTACATAATATAGAATTTATAACTGATAGTATAATATTGCTGTAATTTAATTGAAAATTAAATATGTACTATAATAGACAATAGTGTAATATTATTTCATTACTAATGAAATTATAATATAAATATTTTATAAATGGTTAATAAATGTAAATATTATGCTTTTTACATTTTTATTTTATAAATATTTAGAATATATTCATAAAATAAGTTATTTGGGTCTTAAGCTATAAATATTGGTAAATAATAAATGTTTTATTGAAAATGTTTATTTTACTAAATGGGTACCAATTTAAGTAGGTATTATATTTAAAAAATTAAATTCTAGTCATTATTTTGTGATTTGAGCACTTAAGATTTTCAATTTAACATATCTGAATATTATACCTAACTGTTTAAATGTTTATTCAATGTTACCCTCAGATTATCATATATAAAAATGGACAAAATGAATAAGATGGAGTTATCAATGATTATTATACGATATATCTATATTTTTCTAATCTAATAGTAATTACACTTTCCACTTTGAATAAATATTATAAAATGTATACTTGTGTATCTTAAAACTACTGTCAACTATAAAAAATCTATAACTATATTTCAAACATTTATTTAGCATTTAGATTAATATTAGTATTAATAACCATTGACATAATATTATTTTTATGTGTAGGCCAAAAAAAAAATTGCTAATTAAACTCGTTATTATTAATTTATATCCACTAAGACAAAATCCCAGTATTTCTTGGCTTGTTTCTAAATGTTGTCAATGGACAGGTCTCAACACTCTGCGGCGGCAGCGGTTATAGTTAAATAAAGGTGGACACAATTTTACCGTTGCAGTGTGTGGCGACTTTAATTGTACTTATTGAATAAACTTATGAGACAAATATACAATTAAGTATTTATCTACTTACTAACCTACTTTAAATCACATATTATACTGTTATATACCTAATGGTATGTTACATAAATATATACAACTGCATACTTTATTATCTTACACAATCTATTTGTAATTACATTTTATATTTATATAAAACCTTATTGTTTCAGTATCGTACTGCTGATCAACAAACAATGTGAAATATTTTCTGGAATAAATATCAAAAGTGTTCAATTTGAAGATTTGTAAATGTGCAAGTGGATATTTATTATTAGCAATCAATATAAGTAAACTGTGTAATATATTTTATTTATTTTTTAAATTGTAATATACATTTTCAATATCTGATTAAACTTAATATCTATCTCTTTTATAATGTAACTTATCATTATTTATATTTGGTTTCTGCTTTCTGTAGTACTGGTATTATATATTGATTCACCACTGCCACTTATAAAATAAACAATTTTAATACCTGACCCCCATTGGCAGATTTTTTTTAGCTTTATTTAAAAATCTAGCTCAACAATTCCATTGGCAGATATTTGGTCAAATGTGTGGAGGCTGATCCATCATCAAAATTAAGCCAATATAACTTCAATTTACTGCTTAAATGTGGCTCCCAAATATGTCATAATATATAAATGAAACATAATGTACTTATTTTATTTATCTTTGATGGACTAAACATTCTGGGGGGGG